ATTACCATCATTCACATATAGTCTTGACTGCATTTTTGATCTTCTGCAAATAATTTTAGCATATAATATTGATGACGATGTTTTGCGTACTTTAGTGCTCAATAATCCGCGAATTTCAACAGAAGAAGTTGCTACAGCACTAAACGTTGACCGATCAACCCCTTTTCGGCGTTTAAAAAAGATGGGATTCGATTTGAAGCTCGATATATGGGTGCCCCATTTGCTGACCGAGAAGAACAAAATCAAGCGAATTTCTGCAGCCGTTTCTTTACTCGGGCGGCTCAATAACGAGTCGTTTTTGGATCGACTAGTGACGGGCGATGAGAAATGGGTCCTCTACAACAATGTTCAGCGCAAACGGACATGGAAACAATCAGGTGAGCATGGTGACGCAATGCCAAAGGCTAGTTTGCACCCGATGAAGGTGATGCTCTCTGTTTGGTGGGATTGCAAGGGCATAATCTATTTCGAGCTTCTCCTCGCTGGCGAAACGATTGATTCGGACAAGTACTGTCGCCAATTAACCAATCTGAATCGAGAAATAAAAGAGAAACTTCCGATTTTGTCAAATCGCAAGGGAGTCGTCTTTCATCACGACAACGCCAGACCACACGTTTCGAAAAAGACGCTGCGCAAACTGAAAGCCTGAAATGGAATGTCTTAACGCATCCACCGTATTCTCCTGATATCGCACCATCTGACTATCACTTGTTCCGGTCATTGCAAAATTATTTAAATGGAAAAAACTTTGACTCTTTGGAGGCCTTAAAAACGGCGTCTCTTCGTTCTTCGAATCTAAACCGCGCAGTTTTTATGATCGAGGCATCCGTATGCTGCCAAAACGTTGGGAAAAGATTATAGAAAACGATGGAGAATATATCATTGATTGAATAAAGATTTTTGTTTGCCTAATCACTGTGTGACTTTTACTCACAAACTCCGCACGAACTTTTGCACTCACCCAATACATACAATCATTACTAAATATTTTGTAATATATCATATAAATACTTAGATATATCTTCTTATTCTATATCATGCATCTCCTTTTTACTGCATGCTGTTGTACCATTAGCATATATTTCGTGCATGTGAATGCTTGTATCTTTTTCCATGCATATATTTTCCTTGTCTTCATTAACAATATGCTCCTTGTTGCAATAAACCTCATTCACATATAGTCTTGATTGCATTCTTGATTTTCTATAAATAATTACAGTTTTAGTGATTTAAATCGTACATACATATATATACTTTATTAGAATTTACATACATATGTATTACAAATAAACTAATTGCCATGTCTTACTTACATGTGGAATGATGCTTCTTCGCCAGATGTCTTCCAATAACCACATGCACTACACGTCTTCATATTTTTATTTCGATTATATTTTTCTTCACTATTGTTAACTCTACTTTCTCTGCTTTTCTGCCCACGACGCGCGACGTATACTCAGCTGATCGACTAGTCGGCCATTGCTGTCACGAATGTGCGCGCAAAAAAGGACAGACAGTCACCGATGTTTCGCCTCTCTCACAGTTCTGCCAAACCCACCTTCTTCTACAGAAAAGTATAGGGTATGCTCAGTATAGTATATATGTCTATGGGCCAACACGTTTTCGGCGCTTTCGGCGACACCGATTTTTCGCACTGGGAATGGGTGCTATCTGCACCCATTTTGAGAGGGGAACTACGAAGCTATATCCACTTTTAGGTCTCGACGGTAAAACCTGCATCTGGTGGCTGTCCGTGCTACATCCACTTTCAGGTTTATGTCCGTGCAACAACCATAATAGCCTACTTGACAAGCACGGTCTCGCGCATTTTATGCATTTGTAACATGAATTAACATGTTAACATGCACAAAAAAAATAAGAATTGAGATTGTATATGATTAATATCATGAAGATTATATAGGATTTATATCGATACATAAATATATGATAATAAGATAATATTTTGTGTGTTTAATTTAAAACCAAAATTATTCTTCCAAAATATTTCAGCGTTACGTTAGTATTTATTTATACTCCGGCAGGCGAAAGTAGCGTGACGCACGCACGCACGCACGCACGCACGCACGCACGCATGCACGCACGCACGCACGCACGCACGCACGCACGCACGCACGCATATATATATATATATATATGCGTATATATTATATATAAATAATATATATATGTATGTGTATATAAAACACATAAACATATATATTTTGAAGCGATTATTAAGGGGGGATAAATTATAATTATAATATGACACGAGGGTACGCTCCAGCTGACATCTTATGTAGCGACGGGCCTGAGCGATCCGCGATCGTCGCCTCGGCCGCTGAGCGCGCAGCGGTGGAAGGGGAACGGTGGGTATCATCGCTTGAAATCCGGCCGAAAAGGGCACTTTGTCTCCAGCTCTGCTTTACTTGTATCTTTTATCGCATCATTGCTAATAACAAAAGGTACATCTTTGCAATTTGTAGCATGATCACATGAAAGCCTATTGTTTATCCCTAATGGGACCTATAGCCTATGATGTATGCAATTGTTTCAATTGTAATTGCGATCTACGAAATTGAAAGTTATATACTTTTTTTTGTATTATGAAAAAATAATATGTACTAGAAAGAAACATCATTTTTTAATATGTTATAAATTGTACAACACATTATTGATGCAATATTGAGGTACAAGCGAAGAAGAAGATGAAGGAAATATATTTCGTATTTTATTTAACTAATATTTTTTGGGATATTTAAGGAAAACTGTATAACATTCAATATTTAACTCACAATATCTCGCTAACTATTTGTCGGAAGAAGAAGTGGTATCACACTTTTCCGTACTTTCCATTTCCGTAGTCTGAAATAGGAGTTTTTATTTAAAAAAATCAGTTTGGCCTCAAAATGACCTTGACCTTTTACCTCAAAGTCAAAGTCAAGGTCACCGCTAAGTATCCCCCTGCTTATCCTATAACTTTTGTCTGACGCATTTTTCGCTATCGCCCCTATCTGAGGAGATATTCCCATGGACGGATTAAAATGGCCCACCCTGTATAAATAAATGTTTCAGTTATATTTTTTATATTTTATATATACTTTATAATAATTATTTTAATACAATATATTTAAGTATTGTAATAAATGAAATAGGAAGATTTAAATGTAATACTTTTAAATACTTTAAAATACATATCTGCCCAACTGTAATATATATATGTACGTTTCTTCGTAAATAAAAATTAAATATGTTCCTCTCTATTTCTATTTTAATTCAATATGTTATAAAAATTATTTGTTACACATAAGGATACCTTTGTATGTGACAAATATTAATAACATTTTTAATTAAAATATAAATAAGCAGAAAATCTAATATTTTTATACGTACATATATTGCATTATACAAATATAATATATACTTACAAAGAACATCCGTGAAGTGTTCCGATTTCGACGAAACATGGCATGTTTGTAGAGTAACCAATAATAAGAGACTCATATTATTTTATTGACAATAGCTCAAGCTTAAGGGATGAAATTGCCCTTCATAATTCCATCCTCTTTATATGCTATCTCGATAATTATTGCAAATATGAAAAAACTTTTTAAACAAAATTTTACGGCATGAAAAGTTATAAAACTTTGAGGGGCAGTTTCACCCCTTAAACCTGAGCCATTGTTGATAAAAAAATATGGGTTTCTTATTTTTGGCTACTCTACAAATATGCAAAGTTTCGTCAAAATCGGAAACACACTTCGCGCATGTTCTTTGTTTGTTATATTACATGACATATAAAAATATGTAATATATACGTTTATGTTACATTACATTATATGAGAAAATACGTAACATGTATGTCTATGTTCCGTTACAGTAATATATTATTTGTAATATACTTGATATATAAATGATACATTCAAAGTTGCTAACATAAAGCCGTACCAAAATGTTACATTTACTTACACAAGTAATATTACATGTAATATTCATGAAATTCGTGTAATGTAACATTTGCGTATATGTTATATACTGTGGTTTGCTGGGAATAAATATGTTAATGACTACGTTTCAAATTGCGAGTATAACACAGACACCTATAACACCGTTGGAAATTGAAGTCCATAATGAAATTCGGGACATGCTACAAAATTTTCAGAACATATGTTTGGCATCATTATTGGAATATAATTACGTGCTTGATTTTGCTAATTCATTAGAACCATATGAAATACAAATTATAGAATATATTACAGAAAGAGAAGATGATCACAGTTTTGAAGCTAAAGAATACATTGTTGATGAGGAAGGTGGGAGGATCGACTTTAATTATAAGAGAAAAGCTGTGGAGTTTTGGAAAAGCAAAATGAAGGCTCGTTGAGCTTTAACTAGCGTACGGAGCAAGTTTCATAAGGTTAAAAATTTACAGCAGTTACGCAGATAGGAAGAGAAGTATAGAAAGAGGTGGATCAAATATAGATAAATTAGAATTTATTACGGGATATGTATTGCAAAAGTTTGAAAAAGCTTGTGATAGAAAATTTATTGTTCATAATATGAATTTAAGATTTTGGACCTTGGAAGCGAAGGACCAAGTGGATTTATTCGAATTCAAGACAAGTAAACGATAAAAAGAGAGTATATAAGTAGTTAAACAAGGGGATTCTAACCCACTTTTTAAAATGAATTTTCAAAAGCCTGGCCTTTTTAATGAAATATTTTCAAACCTGACCTTTTCAATGAAATATTTTCAAATCTGACATTTTAATGAAATATTTTCAAATCTGACTTTTTTAATTAAATATTTCCAAACCTGACCTTTCTAATGAAATATTTTCAAACCTGACTTTATTAATGAAATATTTTAATTAATACTCCCCCTTCTTTATTGATACCGCCATTTATTGATATCACCCTCTTCATTGATATTCCTCCTATTGATACTCCCTCTTTATTGATACCCTCCCTGCTCCCCAGAATTGTTTGATTCTATGGGCAAGATGTCGGGCAGCCGTACATATGATGAAGTAAGCGAAACTGATTCAGGCGGTATTGATGGTGACGGTAAGGACAAAATAGCATTTAGGGAAACAAAAATAAACATCAACAGGGAAATACTCACCACATCGCAAAGCGATACAAAGTTTAAAACAAGGGGTATAAATTGTGATTTCATTCCTAAAAGCAGAATCATGGAGTGTCGCAAATCGTCCAAATCAAAGTGGAGCGTTGAGCAAGAACCTGACGTGCAGTATTCCATCACGGAATTGGAAGAATTGACGAGAGAAGCACAAAAAGAACAGAAGCAGGCATTACAAGAGGAAAGAGAATTAAAGAGAATCATGCAGGAAAACTTGTTTAAAATCAAGCAAGAAACGGCACAGGTAAAAACCAAAAATGAACAACTAAAAAGGTTGATCGAACAGTCATCAGGGTGGAGAGTGAGCGAAAAATCGAGCAAGAAGCAACAACCGTGGAAAATGGAAACATTTATAAAACAAGAAAGCAAACCATCGACGAGCGATGTGAAAAAGCATAAGAAAAGTGAGGATTATGACAGCAAAACAGAACAAATAAGAGGACGTAAAAGAAGCGGCGAGTTATATGTCGATTTACGTACGATCCCTAGACCCAGAAATAAAGGAGGTCAATATAGAAATTGGACGCAAAAGGATTTGGACAAATATAGGCAGTCTAAGAGAAAGAGGATAAACGTGGTGAATTCTTCCGATGAGGAAACAAGACAGGAAGAAATAACAAGTATCAAATCAATGGAAGATACACCGACAACAGCAAAAATAAGCGAGGAATCATCAAAGAGACTGCGAATTAAAGGAATAAAGAGGAAACAATTCCTACCCAAGGAGACGAGCACACCAATAGTGCAGTATCCAGAAACAGAGCCAGGAGAACAACACCCAGAACCGGAAAGCAGCACCCGAGCAGATTCAGATGAGTACGTTCCCGTAATTTTACTCACGGACGTATCAGGATCGACGAATATAAAGAAAAGGGAGTCACAAATGACAAGAGACGACAGCGAAGTGACTAGAGAAACGATTGAGATGAAAAACAACGGTGAGTCTACAAATATAAAATCAAGCGACTCTACTATCTCAATCGGATTACAAAAAGACAATCAGCCGAGAAGCGTTGAAACGACGGTGACATTGTCAGAAGAAACCGAAGATTCGGAAAAGCACGTCGAACCGGAGACGACCGCTCTTAAAAAGACGGAAACGAGCGGGGGCCAGGTGCAGCCGACACGGTTGCAGGAGGAGGAGCGAGTTACTAATCCGGCGAGCGACGACAAGGAGGAAGGCGTCAAGGAGTAAGGGACGCAAGTGAACCAGAAGAAGAGTTTGTTTTATTTCATTCAAAGAGTTTATTTCAAACAATGGGATAAATATCTAGTTCTGTTATGTTGACAATAAATGATTATCGAGAGAGAGAAAAAGCTCGATAATATTATATTACAAAAGTTATTCTATTACAAGCATTACGAGTATTATGTTTGAGTTTGTTTGAGTAATAATATATACAGGTTTTATAGATTGACTCAGAGAGTATTTTTTACATATATATAATTATCATTTTCCACGGTCGCCATCAATTCGCCTTAGTCAGCTGAATGAAAGACAAGGTTAAAAGAAATCCCAACCTAGGGTGGGAAGCGTAGCTATGGGTGGGTTACAGAAAACTAAACTAACCTAACCAAACGAAAATTATTCATATTAGGTAATAACCGAATAGGTTGTCACACTAATACAACCTAACCATAACATCAGGGACGAGATAGGTCCTAGCGGTCACAAGCTTACATGCATTTTGCGGGGGCTAGAATACTAGTAAAAGCGGTTAAAAAACTTACCTTGAAGAAACTTACTTTAGAGAACCTGAAAAGGTAGATCCTAACCTGGTGAGTCCAACCTTGGAGATCCTAACGCTGGTGAGTCCATCCTTGAAGATCCCAACCATGGTGAGTCCATCCGTGGTGATCCTAACCTGAAACAAAAAGAAAAAGAGATATTAGTACACAATTATCATAAAGAAGTACATACTTACCAGTAATATCGAAACGGGTGGATATTAGAAAGAAAACACTAGCATAGAGTGTCACCACGATAGGAAGAGAGGATATAGGTAAAAGGTGATTTATTGTTACACCATCACAGAGTTTCTCAGAGTGGTGTATATTACCATGCTAGTATAGCTTGTTTGACGATGAGCTACAATGAATAGGTAGCCATATGCGAAGAATAACCGAGCGCCTTGAGACACCTATTAAGGGTATACATAGTAAGGCGAAAGTCCGTGTTAAAGTCTAGAATTAAGTCTAGAAATTAAGGAAATTATTTTGCGTATTTTTTATACATATGTTTATTACACATATCGGACAAACAACTCACCTAAGTAAGAGGAGCCTTCTATGGTCGAATATGGCAAACTAAGATTCACGTAGTTTGGTGAATAACTAGAAATTGTTTTGTTGAGAGCCGAATAAGTATTAACAAAGGCACAATGGAAAGTTTGCACTAAAGGCGAGTTGTTTGGTTCTAAGAAAAAGGTAAATACGCAGTTTCTCGGAAAGAGCCGTTACGCCCGGGGCATTGACCGAAACCCGATCCGGTTACCAACTCGTAAACAAGTCCGAAGTGGGGGTAGTCGCGGACAAAGAACGGTGGGCGAGCGGAGAGCGAGGAAGGGAGGCTGTCGGAGGACAGGGGGTCGAGTAGAGAAAAGACTCGAGAGATTCTGTTCCTACCGTCTGACGAGAGCAGACGTGCCGTCGCGACGCTCCGTAAGGAACAAAGTGTTCGTGTTACGAGAATAGAGGTCAGATCCCGGCGTACTTATACCACCGTCGTCATTAATAATCGGTATTGCGCGATTGATTAAGATTGTTCGAACGTTTAACAGTGAATTAGATTCTCTAACATCGAGGATAGACGCGTTGCGGAATTTAGCATCGCGATTAAGATACGCAATCGGTTTCGATACATTCTTCGGTTATTCGCGATACGGTATTCGAGTTAACATCATATCTCTGCCTGATATATTCAGTTACCTTTACCGGATAAAGGTCTTATTACACGTCACTCTATCCAGGCGCGATTCGATTAAGGGTCACGTTCGCCAGCTCAAGCAAGAGCTGTGCAATCGGGTTTTGTGCGTGCCTGCTGACGGGTCTCTGATTACCCGTTGATTCGGATATAAGGCAACTCATAGAACGGAACGAAGCTAGAAGGGCTGAATCTCCGACAGCCCGAGACCAAATAGGAGTGGACTGGGTCCGAGAAATTGTATTGCGGCCAAAGGGTGTTTTACCCGGAGGTGTTGAACGCGGAGGTATCCGTAAGTGTCTAATATTGTATTAATAATTGTTATAAGCCGCGAAAGCGCGAGCGTAGTTAATAACGCGTAGAAGTTATTTTATATCCATTGGATTAATTCTTTTGTAAAACTGATACACAGATATATATATATATATGTATATATATATATAGATAAAAATAAATATATGAAATTTTATTTCAAAATTGATTCAAATTGTTTAACGGACGCATCGTTCAGAGACGCGAACCGAACTTCGGACGAAGTAAAAAGATAAAACTTTTACCATAACGTGGATACCACGTATCGTGAAGCGTTCGCCATACCAGGTCGTGGGATACATGGTACTGAGTCCGACCTGGCGACGCTGTTAAAATGTTTCAGGGTGTGGCTAGTGAATAACACAAGTTCAATAAGAATATTCGAGGAATCGAAGGAGTCCACCCATCATTGAAACAAAAATAGAAGACCATAGTGGGCCACGAGTGGTGGTGACACATATGGCACCAAAGAGTAAAAAATTGATCATTCGGATCAAAGTAGTTCATGTCATTGAATAAGATTGATAAAATAGACCATTTAGGTCGGTTGAGTAAAATCTCACCTAAACAAGTAATTTGAAGATCTGCCATAATTCCCCATAGCTGGTAGGCAGCAATTAGGTTTCCCTATTTGCCTTTTCAAAGATAGGGTGGCGACCGATACGTGACAGGCTGAAGACCGGCCATACCGAGATCCGTCGGATGGCTATTACTCACCTATTTTGGTGAAGATTGTATATGGTCAGGTTCAGCAGGGTGAGTGGTGAGGCAAAGCTGGAGGTGGAGAAGAAGCTAAGAGTCAGGATTCATAAAGAACCGAAGAGCCGGGTCAGGGTACTGAGACATTCTATAAAGAGGGTCAGGTTCTCTTCGGAGACCAATTATTTTTTTTATATTACCCGATAAGCGGTCACAAGTTTACATGCATTTTGCGGGGGCTAGAATACTAGTAAAAGCGGTTAAAAAACTTACCTTGATAAAACTTACCTTGAAGAAACTTACCTTAGAGAACCTGAAGAGGTAGATCCTAACCTGGTGAGTCCAACCTTGGAGATCCTAACGCTGGTGAGTCCATCCTTGAAGATCCCAACCATGGTGAGTCCATCCTTGGTGATCCTAACCTGAAACAAAAAGAAAAAGAGATATTAGTACACAATTATCATAAAGAAGTACATACTTACCAGTAATATCGAGACGGGTGGATATTAGAAAGAAAACACTAGTATAGAGTGTCACCACGATAGGAAGAGAGGATATAGGTAAAAGGTGATTTATTGTTACACCATCACAGAGTTTCTCAGAGTGGTGTATACTACCATACTAGTATAGCTTGTTTGACGATGAGCTACAATGAATAGGTAGCCATACGCGAATAATAACCGAGCGCCTTGAGACACCTGTTAAGGGTATACATAGTAAGGCGAAAGTCCGTGTTAAAGTCTAGAATTAAGTCTAGAAATTAAGGAAATTATTTTGCGTATTTTTTATACATATGTTTATTACACATATCGGACAAACAACTCACCTAAGTAAGAGGAGCCTTCTATGGTCGAATATGGCAAACTAAGATTCACGTAGTTTGGTGAATAACTAGAAATTGTTTGTTGAGAGCCGAATAAGTATTAACAAAGGCACAATGGAAAGTTTGCACTAAAGGCGAGTTGTTTGGTTCTAAGAAACAGATAAATACGCAGTTTCTCGGAAAGAGCCGTTACGCCCGGGGCATTGACCGAAACCCGATCCGGCTACCAACTCGTAAACAAGTCCGAAGTGGGGGTAGTCGCGGACAAAGAACGGTGAGCGAGCGGAGAGCGAGGAAGGGAGGCTGTCGGAGGACAGGGGGTCGAGTAGAGAAAGGACTCGAGAGATTCGGTTCCTACCGTCTGACGAGAGCAGACGTGCCGTCGCGACGCTCCGTAAGGAACAAAGTGTTCGTGTTACGAGAATAGAGGTCAGATCCCGGCGTACTTATACCACCGTCGTCATTAATAATCGGTATTGCGCGATTGATTAAGATTGTTCGAACATTTAATAGTGAATTTGATTCTCTAACATCGAGAATAGACGCGTTGCGGAATTTAGCATCGCGATTAAGATACGCAATCGGTTTCGATACATTCTTCGGTTATTCGCGATACGGTATTCGAGTTTAACATCATATCTCTGCCTGATTTATTCAGTTACCTTTACCGGATAAAGGTGTTAATACACGTCACTCTATCCAGGCGCGATTCGATTAAGGGTCACGTTCGCCAGCTCAAGCAAGAGCTGTGCATTTTGTGCGTGCCTGCTGACGGGTCTCTGATTACCCGTTGATTCGGATACAAGGCAACTCATAGAACGGAACGAAGCTAGAAGGGCTGAATCTCCGACAGCCCGAGACCAAATAGGAGTGGACTGGGTCCGAGAAATTGTATTGCGGCCAAAGGGTGTTTTACCCGGAGGTGTTGAACGCGGAGGTATCCGTAAGTGTCTAATATTGTATTAATAATTGTTATAAGCCGCGAAAGCGCGAGCGTAGTTAATAACGCGTAGAAGTTATTTTATATCCATTGGATTGATTCTTTTGTAAAACTGATACACAGATATATATATATATGTATATATATATATAGATGAAAATAAATATATGAAATTTTATTTCAAAATTGATTCAAATTGTTTGACGGACGCATCGTTCAGAGACGCGAACCGAACTTCGGACGAAGTAAAAAGATAAACCTTTTACCATAACGTGGATACCACGTATCGTGAAGTGTTCGCCATATCAGGTCGTGGGTTACATGGTACTAAGTCCGACCTGGCGACGCTGTTAAAATGTTTCATGGTGTGGCTAGTATATAACATAAATTCAGTACGAATATTCGAGGAATCGAAGGAGTCCACCCATCATTGAAACAAACCTAGAAGACCATAGTGGGCCACGAGTGGTGGTGACACATATGGCACTAAAGAGTAAA